ATCGCGTGAATATGGCCATTTTTTTTCGGCGAGCACCAGCGAGGCGCATCCTGGATCCCCTGGCAACAAAAAGCCGAACAATGCCTGCGGGAATGGATGCCCGAGCGATGGCAGGGATCGGCCGGACGGGGCTAGGACGAGGATAAATCCGATCCAGAGCGTTCCAGGACGCTCTCAGAGCGTTCCGGGACGCTCGGAGAAGGCCGCGGCGCCCGACATCCTCCAGAGCGGCCGGATCTCAGAGCTTCTCGACGCGACTCCTGGAGGTCCAGATCCATTCCCCAGGACCGGTTTTTCATCCTGACTCGTTATTTGACGGTCCCGAGGCCCGGTAAGGGCCCCCAGAGGCCGAAACTAATGACAAATTGCTCGTCGTGATTCTTTCATGGCTCGAGGGGGCCTGGGCCCGAAGTTATCCTCGTCTTGGCCTCGTGTCCCAATCGGGGTGCGCCCAGCGGGATGCAGGAGCCAACGTCGGGGTCGCCACGACAGGGGCCTGCGGTGCCTCCCCGTCCTGGGCTCCGCCGCGGGAGGTGCGCGGCGGTGGCCGCGCGGCCTGGGGCCCGCGCTGCGGTCCTTCTCCGAGGGGGGCGGGGCATGGCGCCGGGGCTTGCCGAGGGCGCGGAGGGCAGCCGCGCGAGCAGTGAGAGGAGGAAGAGGTGCCCGCAGCATCCTCCTCCCTCCTCGTTTCTCGGCCCCCTCGCCTCCCTCGCTCTCCTCCTCCGCCTCCGCCTCTTCCTTCACCTCCTCCTCCTCCTCGTGCTCCTCCTCCTCCTCCTCCTCCTCCTCCCCCTCCTCCTCCTCCTCCTCCGCCTCCTCCTCCTCCTCCTCGCTACCTTTCGCCCGTGTTCCCCGTTGTTGGGACTCCTGGGAGGCCCTCGTCGCCACCGCTGGATTTGCCTCGGAATTCTGGTCAGAACGCACCGCAGGAGAGGTCCTGGGAGTGGCGGTATCGGTACCTCCTGGTTTCTGCAAGTAGGGGATCGACTACAGAATTGATTTACCCCAGATTTTTTCCGTGTCGACTTCACAAATCAAAGACGTGGAGTGTTCGTAGTTGCACGGATCATTCTACGTAGTTTCGCAGATTTCGACGAACAACTCATTTCCCGGGTAAATAAATTCTGTAGCCGATCCCTTACTCGAAGAGAAACCGCGCCCCGCGGGGTGCGGTGTGTGACTCGGCGGCGAGCTCCGAAGCCGATGCCTGCCATGCTTTGCCGTCGCTGCTTTTTCCGCCATGCTCTCGCGGACCGCCCCTGCTTCGGGGGGCGCCTTTCCGAGACAGTGGTTGGTCGGAACGCCGACCGACGTATGGTGAATCCGAAGTCGGAGCCTTCGGCTCCGCTCCGTCTCGCTCCCGTCCCGCTCCCCCCCCCCGCTGGCGTGCCCTTGGCCCCTGGCACTCCCGGCGAGGCGCAGCTGCCGGAGCACCCCGAGGCCGGAACACCGCCGACAGCTTTGGCAACGCCCGACAACCTCGGACCTCGAACCTCGTCTCGGCGGCGAGCCCGGGGGGCCTTCTCAGAGGGCTCGGAAGTCCCCCTCCCCGCCTGAGACCGCTGGCCTTCCCGTGCCTCGGGCGCGGGGGTGGGGCGTGGCGGCTCGACCGTCACTCTTCCGCTTCGCTCTTACTCTTGCTCTTACTCCTCCTCCTCTTCCTCCTCTGTATTATTATTCTTGTTATTCCTCTTCTTATCATTATTTTTTATTATTCTTATTTTTAGTATTATTATGCTTATGCTTATTACTACTATTATTATTACTATTATTATTATTAATATTATTGTTTCATTATTATTATTCGTCGTATTATTATGCTAATTATTCTTATTATCATTTGTATTAGTATTATTTGTATTCGTCTTCGTGTTATCATTATTATCATTATTATAATTATAAGTATTGTTATTAGTATTATCAGTATTATTATTAGTATTATTATTAATATTAGTATGTCGATTATTCGTATTATTGTTCTTATTCTTAGTAGTATTATTGTTCTTCTTCTTCTTCTTATTATTATTATTCCTCTTATTTATTATTAATATCATTATTGGTATTCTTATTAGTCTTTTTATTCTTAGTATTCCGTTTCTTCTTCTTCTTCTTCTTCCTCCTCCTCCTCCTGCTGCTCATCCTCCTCTTCCTCCCACGAAACCTCGTTCTCCAGAAGGCCGGAGGCGCTCCCGAGACAGTGCCGCGTCGGAGGGTCGGCTGGCCCTGGAGCCCGATGACGACCTCTTGGGAGGCCGAGTCTCGCCGCCGATCGTCGTCGTCGTCGTCGTCGTCGTCGTAGTCGTCCTCGTCCTCGTCCTCGTCCCCCGTCCCTCGTCCTCGTCCTCGTCGTCGTCCTCGTCCTCGTCCTCGTCCTCGTCGTCCACGTCCTCGTCCTCGTCGTCGTCCTCGCCAGCCCCGCCCCGCCCCCGCCGGCGCCGCAGGCTCTGCGTGGCGCAGTACCAGGGCGCGGCGGACTCCTGCGCGGCGAGCGCCGCCCGCGGACCTTTGGCCCTGCAGATCTCATCCTCCCTGCCTGCTGCTCCCCTCCCTCCTCCCTCCCGCTTCTTCCGTCCTCCCGTTCCTCCCTCCTCCTCCTCCTCCGTCCTCCCGTTCCTCCTTCCTCCTCCTCCTCCTCCTCCTCCTTCTCCTCCTCCTCCTCCTCCTGCTCCTCCTCCCTCCTCCGCCTCCTCCTCCTCCTGGCCCTCCTCCTCCTCCTCCGCCTCCTCCTCCTCCTCCTCCTCCTCCTCCTCCTCCCCATGCCGATGGTTTTCCGCAACCTTTGGGGTTGCTTTTGTGCAGAACGCATGGGGCGCTGGTAAGGGTGTGCGCATGGCACGCACCGGACGAGCACCTGCATAATCACTCCTGGGGTTAGAAAACTGGGGCGACACCGGCGCATCCCTCTCGCATCCCGCCCCCACTGTTGCACGGCTGCTTGTCCCGCCACCCGTTTTTCCTCGTCTTGCTCCGTCTTATTTCGGTTCTGCTGCACCCCCTGCGCTCGAAGAGCCCCGCGTAGCAGCCGGCGCTGGGCCGCCCCCGGCGTGTCCAACCGCTGGGGGGCGTCCCGTTCACGAATCGATGCCAGAGGGTCCGCGCCGGGCCACGGCGGCCACGCGCGGCGCCGGGGGCCCGCGGGCGCATCGCGCCGCGGGGGCGGGCCGACGCAGGCGCGCCAGGCACGAGAAAGCGTTGCCGCTGGCTTGATGTTGATGCGCCTTCGACGGCGCGCGATCGCGGCTGCTCTCTTCGCGGCGCGTTCCAGGGCGGCGGCCTGTCGGCGCGCGGCCGCGCGTCGCGCTTTCTCACTGGGCCACCGAGACGCATCGCCAGGGCAGTCGCGGCGCCGACGCAGCGGGGGGGGGGCCGTTGCAGCGGCGGGCTCGCGCGGCCAAGTTGCGGCCGCGGCTCCGACGGCTGGGCTGTTTCGAGCGAGTCGCTCGTCGAAGCTGCCGGCGATCCGGGGGCGCGCGTCGCAGCCTGGATCGGATGCCGCGCGCCGCCAGGGGCAGGGGCCGTCGATCCGACCCCTTCGCGCGAGCCCCCCCCCTTCGCGTCTCGGGTTTCGAGACAGGCCGCGCGGTCGAGCAGCTTGAACGGCGACCGTTGCGCAGTTGGAAGTTCCAAGACCGTGCGGAAAGGAAACGACGGAAGGAAGGGGGGAGACGGGAGGAGGAGGCGGAGGAAGATGAGGAGGACGAGGAGGTGTATTGGACAGAGGAGGCGGGTAAATGAAGCAGGCGGAATATGAAAAGCAGCAGGAGGAGGAGGAGGAGAAGAAAAGGGAAAAACAAACAACAATGCTCGTTTCAGAACGAGCACCAGACAGGAAGGCCGGGGAACCAACGATACATTTAAAGTAGGTCGACGACAGGCGACGACGACGTCGACGATGAACGCGAAGAGACCAGCGACAACTGTGGATGACGCCTGCGGCGGCGACGTCGTTTTTTTGTTTCGCGACGTGGCCCCCCCCCCGGAAATCCTGACCCCGTCCCCGGGACCAGCGCAGCATCGTTGGCCAGGGGGTCGTCGGCCAGGGCCTGGGGGGGGCCAGGGGTCGTTGGCCAGGGCCTGGGGCGCCCGGCGCGGGCTCTCGGACGTCGAAAGGTGAGTTGGAGCCTGCGTCGTCGTTTCTTGCGCATCGAGTGGACGTCAGCCGCACCCACGGATACTAAAGCACCGACGCTTCCGCTCCACCTGTTGAAGGCACATCGGCGAATAGCGCCCATTGGTGCTCAATGGCGCCAAATGGTGCCCAATAGTGTCCAGCGGCGCCGAACGGCGTCGAAACAGCGCCCTATAGCGACCACCAGCGCCCAGTAGCGCCACGTGAGGGATATGCGTTCTGTCCGCTCTGCGCGCGATTGGGCGCGTTACTGGGGGTGCCTGCGGGGCCCGGGGGCGGCCAAGAGGGTGGTGGTGATTGGGGAGGGGGAGGAGGAGGAGGAGGAGGAGGAGGAGGAGGAGGAGGAGGGAGGAGGAGAGAGGAGGAGAGGAGGAGGAGGAGGAGGAGGAGGAGGAAGAGGAGGAGGAATAGGAGGAGGAAGAGGAGGACCTGAAGTTTTCGGAACCTCGCGGCCACGGCGGCGGCGGATCCCCGCAGCAGGCGATGCGCTGCAGTAGGTGGCTGTGCTGTGCCTTGCAGGCCAGCCCCCCCCGCCAGCCACACCGCCCCCCGCGGCGCGCCCCCCGCGAGTCCCCGAAGACTTTTTCAGGAATCCCCCTCCTCCTCCTCCTATTTCCTCCTCCTCCTCTCCTCTCTCCTCGTTCTTCCCTCCTCCTCCTCCTCCTCCTCCTCCTGCTCCTCCTCCTCCTCCTCCTTCTCCTCCTCTCCCTCTCCTTTTCCTCTCGTCCTCCTCCTCTCCTCCTCCTCCTCCTCCTCCTCCTCCCCTCCTCTTTCTCGCTCCCTCTCCTTCCTCCCCCTCCTCGTCGCGTCCTCCTCCTCCTCTTCGTCCTCCTCCTCCACCTCCTCCTCTTCCCTCTTCCTCCTCCTTTTCCTCCTCCTCCTACTCCTCCTCCTCCCTCCCTCCCTCTCCTCCTCCTCCTCCTCCCCTCTCCTCCTCCTCTTCCTCCTCCTCTTTCTCCTCCTGCCTCCTCCCCCTCCCCGTCCCTTGTCCTCCTCCTCCTCCTCCTCCTCCTCCTCCTCCCTCCTCTCTCCTCCTCCCCCCTCCTTTTCCTCTTCCTCCTCCCTCTCCCTCCTCTTTCACCTCCTTCCTCTTCCTCCTCCTTCCCCTCCCTCTCTTCACCCCCTCCTCCTCCTCCTCCTCCTCCTCCTCCTCCCTCCTCCTCCTCCTCCTCCTCCTCCCGCCTCCTATCCTCCTCCTCCACATCGTCCCTCTCCTCCTCTCTCCTCCTCCTCCTTTTTCTCGTCTTTTTCTTTTCTCCTCCTTTTTCTCCTCCTTTTTCTCCTCCTCCTCCTTCTTCCCCTCCTCCTCCTCCTCTCCTCCTCCTCCTCCTCCTCCTCCTCCTCCTCCTCCCCCTCGTCCTCCGTGTGAAATCATCAGGCACCGTCCCGAATGTTGAGTGTCCTTATGGCATTTTGGAAGAATTGTACTGGAATCCTGCTGGACCGCATCATGATCTTGGTGGGATCGGCCGTCCGTGCGCGAAGCTTTTATCAAACTTCCAAGACGAGTGTGCGCGGCGCTGGGGCGAGAATCGCATTTTGAAAAAGAGCTGTCCTCCGTCCGTGAAGCTCGTGCTTTTTGAAAGACGACTGCACGCGGCGCAAGGGCGAGAGACCGAGTTCGAACAGGACCCGCCCTCCACCCCTGAAACTCGTGCAGACTTTTAAGACGAGTGTGCGCGCCGCTCAGGCGAGATGCACATTTTGAACAGGACCCGCCCTCCATTCATGAACGTCGTGCAAACTGTTAAGACGAGTATGCGCGGCGCTCAGGCGAGATGCACATTTTGAAAAGGGGCCCGCCCCCCATCCGCGAAGCGCATGCAAACTTGTAGGACGATTGTGCGCGGTGCTCAGGCCCGAGACACATGTTGAACGTGACCCGCCCTCAATCCGTGAAGCACTTTCAAACATTCAGACGAATTTGCGCGGCGCTAAGGCCAGAACCACGTGTTGAAAAGGACCCGCCCTCCATCCGTGAAGCTCATTCGTTTAACACGAACGTGCGCGGCGCAACACCGAGAGACCCATTTTGAACAGGACCCGCCCTCAATGTATGAAACACTTCAAACTTTGAAGAGGAACAGGAATCGCCCTCCTCCTCCTCCTCCTCCTCCTCCTCCTCCTCCTCCTCCTCCTCCTCCCCTCCTCCCCCTCCTCCTCCTCCTCCTCCTCCTCCTCCTCCTCCCCCTCCTCCTCCTCCTCCTCCTCCTCCTCCTCCTCCTCCTCCTCCTCCTCCTCCAGGAATTGGAACAGGAGAATCGCCCTCCGCCCGTGGAGCTCGCGCAAACTTTTTGTAAAGCCAAAGTGGGCGCGGCGCTCCGGCGAGAGCCACCTTTTTTACGAACTTCGGGGGCGGGGGCATAATTTCTCGGGGGGCCCCAAACGGGGTGGTGACCACACCGTGCGGTGAGTTTGTGGGGATTCGGGGTCACCGCACGGTTTTGGGACTCGGGTCGTTCTCCGAGGATGTGTCGGGCGACAGGGGCTTCCAGGGTCCCAAGACCGTGCGGTGACGGACCGTGCGGTGAGGTCTGGGGGGATTTCGAGGTCACCGCACGGTCTGTCACCGCACCGTTTCGGGACTCCAAAATTTCAACTTTATACAATACAATTTCGACGAGAGGGGGTATAACTGATACAATTTCGACGAAATGCAATACAATTCGGGGTATAATGAACTTCCAGGGGCAGAACGGATACCACTTCGACGAGAAAGGGGGGCGGCAGGGTGTGCGATAATTTCTCACCCGCGGCATGTCGTGTGGCAAGATCTCTTGCTGCAGGGGTCTTTCTGTACTGCGAAGGCCTTACGGCTGGTACCGCCGACCCGGCATGCTGGACCTCCCCCAGGACCCCCGCTGGCGACTTCCCCGGGACCCCTAAAACAGGGCTAGGATCGGGATAAGTCGCTCCAGAGCGTTCCGGAGCGCTCTCGGAGCGTTCCGGAACGCTCTGGAGCGGCCGCGGCGCCCAATACATCCTCCAAACCCGCCGATTCTCAGAGATTTCGAGTTATCCCGATCCGATTTTGTCCCGATCTTCGCGTCGTTTTAACCCCCAGGACCTTGGGGGGGGCGGTATTCTGACCTGGGCCTCCCCCCGCCCCCGGCGGGGGGGGAAGGGATCAAAGGGAGGGGCTTCCCTTCGACGTAATTGCGACTTGATTGCGCCGTTCCTTTATTTCCTTGTGGCTGGCGACGACGACGACGACGACGACGACGAAGACGACGACGACGACGACGACGACGACGACGACGACAGCGCCTTCAATACGCCGAAGGGCTGGCGGATCTGGGCGGCCTCCATCGGTGGCTGCCCGAACCCTCGCAGCCGCGCCTTCCCTCAAGGGGGGCGCGGAGGGGAGGAGG